AACCTTTGACCCCTCTGAGTCGTGGCTTCTTCTTCTTCTTCTTGATGAAGAAAAAGAAATGGTCAGATAGAAATGACCGGAACGCTCTTTTTCTGAACTTCAGCTTTAATCTTACTCGTAAAATATCAAATTTAACCCCATATTTATTTAGAATAAAGTGCACAAATGAGAGCAGACTTTTTGAAAAACAGAACAAGATTTAGAAAAATCGCACGTTCTTTAAAGATAAATTCAGCTCCAACAGGATTTAAATCTAAAATCTCTTAATTTAATTTCCTTTTTCATAATTTACTGGCCCAAAACAGATAAAATCTTCCTTTAAAAGGCCTGGTTGTGTTTCCTCCTGAGGCTCCCTGAAGGGAAACTAAAGTTTAATCTGAGTTTAAATCAAAACGGTCTACAGGAGTAAAACCTCTGGCTTTATATGTCCTTGATAGAGGACCAAAGCAGGACATAGGATCATATAAAAGTAGATTTAAGTGATGAAAATAAGATATTAAAGGAATTTTAAATCAAATCAGATAGCTGAACAAAACCTTTTCCGTGTTTTGTGTCATTTAATGATTTAAAAACTCTTGTAATTCACCCGGCTGGTTCACATAAACTGTAACTTTCTGGGGTGCTAAAACTCGATTTTAAAGGCTCATCTCATTTCTAATCAGTCCTTCACACTATCCGTGTGTGTGTGTTTGGATTCAGGTTTTTCCTCCAGAGGAGCTCCACTGATAAAACTCCATGTGGGAAATTTAAAGATAAACTAAATCTGTGGTGGATCCTTCAGAGAGCTGATTTTTTACTGAATAATAGCGAGTTTATCCCTGTAAATCCAAATGTATCATATTCGATACGGTTTCTGAAATATTTTGTCTGACACCATTAGCATAATTTAGTGGTAAAAACTTTGCTCAAAATCCTATTTTACACAATCAGATACACCTGATAACAGGGGGCAGAAGACTACACAAAAAATAATATTGACTTATCGCATAGTAATAAATTCTTAATATTGAAAAATTATTTTTGTTTTTCTTTTTACATATTTTGTTAAAAGGCCAAATAAGGCATGCAAACCAAAAAAAATGGAATTTTCTGTTTTGTTTTATTCTTGGATCAGGCTTTAATTTTCATATTTAAGCCTTTAAAGGTGAAATCCTCAATTTTCTTTTGCCGTTAGCTGTGAGAAAACATGGTTTATGTGGAGTCCATTCATGGGCTTTACACAGTATTTGATTTTTTTTTACAGTTTCATGCTGTAACTGATCTACTTTCCGAGCAAAATCAGGCTGATTTGGTCTGTTCTGGAGGCTTTCGCTCCCTTATGGTGACATCTGCTGACACTTGGAGTGGTTGTGGAGGTCCTGGGTGTGTTTTAGCTTCGTGTGTCTGGATCTGAAGGCGACAGGTCGGCGCCTGTTATAGAAACGGGTGGAAAAGCAGCTGGACTCCGTCCCTCGGGCTGGAACTCCCCCGATGCCAGAGGAAATCACCTCATGTCTTTGTGCCGTCTGGCTCAGAGCGCTGAGCTTTTATTGCCTCCTTTCTCCCATTCTGGTTCTCCCAGTCTGGCTCCTGGCCTTCGGTTTTCTCTACGATCCGATTCGATCCCGGCCTATCAGAGCATGTGTTAAAGTCTAAAGTTCTTTATCTACTTACTTAGTTGTCAGACTCATGTTGAACAGGGATTTACTCTGATAACAACTTAATGGTTAGGACACAGACCTGTGGGTTACACATTCTAATGCTAATGGGTGATTTAGGGTTTTTTACCTCTTCAAAAAAAAAAAAAATCAACAAAAACCTTTTAAAGCCAAAGAAAAAATCAAATCCCATCCCAAATGTAAGCTGTGATAGCTATTTATGCACTATTGAACAAAGAGGGTCACATCTCTGGTGGAAAACCTCCAAAACCAGCATGGAGCCTTTTTTGTTGGGTGAAGCAAAAAATATGTTAAAATATACTAAGTAAGTAGATAAATAACTTCAGACTTTAACACATGCTCTGATAGACCGGGATCGGATCAGAAACCTGGATGTGGTCATCCCTAGTTTGAAGGCACCCCAACAAAAAAGGCTCCATTTGTGCCGGTTTTAGAGGTTTTCCACCAGAGATGTGACCCTCTTTGTTCAATAGTGCATAAATAGCTGTCACAGCTTAAATTTGGGATGGGATTTGATTTTTTCTTTGGCTTTAA